CGCAGGGGATGATATTAAAATGGGAGGGTCGCGCATGGCATGGGCACATATTCCCAAAGTTTCAGCTTTCTATCTTTTCCCGTTCCCGAGTTACGAATTTTCCCGCCAAAACTTTTAACCCCTCGTATGCGGGGCCCAGACGTGCGTGGGGGATGGTACCGCGGTTCTGGGGTGGTACTTGGCCGGGGTTTTCAGCTTTTCTGGTTCCCGAATTAGTAATTTTTCCGCCAAAGCCTTCAAATTTCCATACATTAGAACCATGCATACCTGGAGACTGATTCTGAAATCTTTAAGTTGCAGTTAAAGTGGGGACATTTCCTCAAAATTTAGCTTTCTGTTGCCAAGTCGGCAATTTTCCCGATAAAACTTTCATGTACACCTAAGTGAAAACCATACATACCTAGGGGCTGAATCTGAAATCTTTAGCTCGCATACACACAAAGAATACCTCTGCAAGTTTCAGCTCTATATTTTGTCTGGTTCCCGATATCGCTTTTTTGAAGCTTCCGTTACATGGGTAACCAAGTGTACGCGGGCGACAATATTAAAACGGGAGGGCTGCACTGGCGGTGCATTAATAGTTTCAGCTCTTTAGCTGTTCTGGTTCCCGAGTTGAAGTGCGAACGCACAAACATACACGCACACAGAGACAGCCTCCTGCCCGTATGTGTTTTTGCATTTGCGTATCTGCAAAAATGCATAAAAAAGGAATGAAATTTGTCCAGCTTTCGTGGAGGCGATGTGCACCATTAGGCAGAGAGGAACGCTAACTTCCTTTTGACGTCATCATTTTAAAGGTATGGCGAGCACCAGTCTGCAGAATCTGAAAAGCTCACATCGACAGTGCCTCAAGTGCTCATCGATAAACTGCAACCGGGGACGGAGTACGAGGTTGCTGTCAAGGTGATGATGCCGGGTGGCATGGAATCCGCGTGGAGCCTTCGAGAAATTGTCCGCACCTCCCCATACGGTTTGTGCCTGTAGACTAAAAAACAAATTCGTGATACGTTAGTGAGATCGTAACTGCTTGCACATTTTGGCCTAATAAGAGATTGATAGCTTATTAACTTCTACAGTTTTGTGCTGGAGTACGGTGATTCTAGCAATTTCAAAGAGATAGTTGAATAGCCAGATGCAGCAAGCAGTGATATTCACATGACTTTTAAGTAGAGAAAATCTCAGGGCATAATTAACAAAGGAAATTCGAAAACTCGAAATTTTGCAGTACTGCCAATGCAGCAGCAGTCAGATTCGTTCGAATTGCGATGCAGTTTCGAAGAGGCGACACAATGCGCTTTCGAATCCGATCCGCTGGCTCCACTACAGTGGACACGTATTCGGAGCGATAGCTATGCGAAGCACCGAACAGTTGGCCACTCAAAAGGTTTTCTTTCATTTTGAAAACCTTCTGAACCTCTTAACATCTAATATCAATAAATGTTTCAAAACTGAACGAACGTGTAATTTTAAGGAGAGTATTTCATAAGTTTGCAATCAACGGCAATGGATGAGAATTATGGCCGACTAATATCAACACCTTTCACATTTGTCGGTGATCCTAATTATTGCCTCAGCGTATGGATGCATATCACAGAACACAGCAAAGGTTGGTGTCAGTCTCGCTCTATGGAGTGCTTTGCAACTGTATTCCATAAGAACTGCATTCCACAATTAAGTCAGGAAAGTCAAACTCGTCTCCGTGATTCATTATATAAGTGATTGACTGGAGTTCCGTTGTACGTGTTAGCAGTAAGTACCCGTTGGAAAGGCTGTCTATAGCTCTCTCCTCCGAGAGTGTCTTAAAACTAATTGATAAGGATTTTGGCTCTAGCAAAAAGATTATCAGTCCGACGGGTCCAGGAAAGGTAGCACACATGCATCGAACAGCCATGTGGATAGCAAATGGAGGTGCGCAATCCAGAATGGAGCGTGGCATAGCTGTGTTCGCCGTATGTGAACGTCCCAATAACATCACAAACAAGGGGCGCCCAACTGAATGCCCATCTTGGTGAATGAAGAAACTGTAAAAGGATTAAGGCAAATGACGTATAGTTCACTTCGTAATAACAAAAAATCCGTTTTCTGCTGCAGTTGCAAATGCTTTTTTTTTCTGCTGCAGAAAAAGTGTGGTTACTGAACCTAGGTACCGCGTATGTCAGTAGATCGAAATTACCCTTGGAAGGTGTCGGGCCAGACCAAAGTAA